TTGGTATTCTGTGTCTTCCACACAAGCAAAACCACTTATGCTGTGTTAGAAGAAAATACATGGTGGTGGAATTTATGTGATGACTGCGTACAAATAAGCAGGCCCAGAAAACAGTTAAAGGGGAGAAAAATACCTATATGAAATCTAATGGGCAAATTAGAAATTGTAGTTACAGGAATTCAGTTGCTACTTAGTGTTTATAGGGAAGCACAAAGAGAACATCAAAATGCCTGATCACATCCCATCTGTTACTACCTCTTGCTGGATAACATCTTAGCTGCCAAAAAAGCTATTTAAATTTACTACATTGCAGCTACTGATAAATATCGCTTCTGTGAAGATCTAATACTAAGTAAGGACTAGATCTGAGGATAAAGCTCACAAGCAGTTGTGTCAAAAAGATCCTAATTTTGCTTAGTGTAACACCTGTACTCTTACAAGCCTGCAGTTTCTTACTCCCTCTCCCTGTCTGTGATATGTTTTTAATAGAGCATACAACTGTACAACAATCCTCAAAAGCTGGATCACGTCAACGGCAGAAAGAAATAAAGCTGGAACAGAAAGAATAACATACAAAAAAGAAAAGGTACTGGCAGGAGGTGACGGAGAAGAGGATGGCTACTATTCAACAATTTTGGAGGTGCTTACTCCGGGCACTTTCCACATAGATCTGACAGACACAGAATGGTGCCGTGAAACTGCCTCCAGCAACAGAATACATTTTCCAGCACATCACAGCAGCTGCAACGGCATCAATTCTGCTTGCAATCCATGTCCAAACAGAAAAGTTCTCAGTGGTCCTATTTCAGCATATCTCAAGGACTAATTAAATCCTCATTACTGTCTTCTAATTATTCTAGTGCTCTGGGATTTCACTGAGCAAGTCCCCAATGGTGAATTAGATGAAAAGGGTTAAATAACCTGTGTTGATTTTGAGACTCCAGATCTATTTCAGACCTTTAGCATATCATCAGCATTATCATGAATATTTAACTACATACCGCTGTGAAAATTATAAGGGAAAAACAATTAAAGATTTTTTAAAAATTAATTCTGACCCATATACATTTGCACTAATAAATAAGGCTTCTTTAACCATCCCCATTATGAGAGTGCTTGCTAGAGTAATAACGTGAAGTCATTAACTGTTTCCATTAAATTCAATGGTTTTCAGGAGCTCCCTATTCACTATTTTAATATAAGACTGAAACCTGACACGTACATATCCAACTGGGTAAGCATGAAAAGTACTACTTAAAGTCAGGTAAGTTTTCTAAGCTTTTTCAAAATTAGGTAAGGAACCATTCATTTCTGCAGAGGTAAAAGCACCTATTTCAACATTATTGTGACACATATTGACACCGGTTAGTGTTTGCACAGGCAAGCATTCATAGGCACAGACGGACACCGCCGTTGGGTTACAGAAGTAAAGGCGGGAGAGTAAGGTAATGGCCACGACAGGAAGCTTCTTTTTCATGCTGCAGCTTCAGGAAACTGATTTAGGGGTCAATTTGGATATGCTGGGTTTCTGTTTGATCCAAACAAACAACTTCTAACCCACCGAGCAGTTCTGGCTACTAAGCACATCCTCAAAGTGCAGCTTCCAAAACCCAAACGCGAGGGAAGTAGGTATGGCTGAATATAGGGAACTCAAGTGACTCTGTAGCCCTATTATTTGCCAAATGGCTAAGACAGCAGGAAAGTTTATAAAAAGCTTTTTCTTCAATAAACATGAAAATAAGAACCCTGTTTTGAACACAGTAAAGAAAAACCTGGAGTAGCTGCATCAGAAACAAAGAGCAAAACATGCATTCCCTTTCCCTCCAGAAGCACAGCAAGTTTCAATGACTAGCTTAATTAGACTACATTCTCATGTGGTCTCCCTGAGTAATGGTAATTGCTGGGATTCAGCAGCAGTTAAATGCAGGTGTAGGTGAGTGGGCATGGCTACTCCTGCTTCTCCGAGACTTCTGACCCCAGTCCTGCACAGCTTCCTCCCTCTGTCTCCAGAGCTCTGTGGCTCTGACGGTCCATTAAGGTATACGGGGCTTACTTCGTAACTCCCAGTACCCTCAAAGACCTGTGAGCTCAGACAATGGTTATCCACACAGAAGTACACGCAGTTTGTACCGCCTAGGTAGGCACCATGTGTCGTTAGAACTGAGAAGGTTCCACTGACTGGGTATCAAACACCAGCGGCCGGTTACAGATTCTGGGATGAGAACAGAAGCGGGCTGCCTAGAGCAGCACGCTCTGTTTATGCTGAGCCAGGTCCAAATGTCCTACAGCTTGAGCAGGACACGACAAATTTTCACATTATTTTTTAAAAGTACATTTTTTTAATGTTTATTACAAAAAGTATGAAATAAGCTATATAAAAAGTAGGCTGGGAGCACAGAAAATCCCATCTCCCAAGAAATCCCCATTACTGGACATACGTACCTACGTTGCCACTCCCCTCCTGCACACGGAATGTACATGTGAAAATAGGCTCATTGCTTCATGCTGCACCGTATGACAGGGGATGTACAGCCTTAGGCAGGCAAGCATAAAAATCCCAGCTGGGTGCTGAGTAACCATGAAAAGTAGGGTAAAATATAATCAAACACTTTCATAATAAAATAAGTAAGTGTAAACTTAATGGTTCAAGGTAACGGTTTAGCACCCAGAAGTGCTACAGCTCAGACTCCACCTGCCAATCAAGCTTCACGGTATCTGGTAAGTAACATTTTCTTCAAGTATTGAGAGCAGACCATTCTGCTCAAGAAAACAGTAGCAGTCTTTTGTTCATTCAATTCTCTCTCTAAATGAGGAAAGAAATGTTACACAAAGTGCTAAAACAAACCACATTACCTTATCGTGTGCAGGGTCTCTAGGTTTTTTGTTTTCATTCTCCTTTTTTGGGGGGTGGGGAAAGTGTATCAGCAAGCAGAAGAGTTTAAATTACTGTAACAGATGCCTATGGATCAGGTGTCCTTAGCAGCAACGATTTTCTGCTCAGGTTTTTATCAGTAAATGACAAGCACCTTCCCTTTGAGTCCCCACCACTCCCCCTCCTTCCTTTCTTCAAGTTCAGTGGAAACCAGTTCAAGCAAGCAAAGGAATCAACTAATGTAACAGCCTTTTTAAAAGGTGAAGTTTTCCATTTCAAAGGAGCCTCTAATCAATGACAGGGCGCAAAAGGGAACGCACGCACATTTATGCGCGTATAGCGCAGACTTTAGAGAATCTTTGGGGAACATGTTCTGCAAAATCAATATGACCTAGCTAGTTACAAATTTCATATCTGCTGCATGAAACAAATGGCCTTCTTGAGCAAGGCTGGGTCACAAGGATCATGCATATTACACCAGATTTTGCATATGAAGAGTGCAAAAATCGCAACGTTCCCAAGTACATTTTCTCTAAGAACATACCCACAATTCTCACCCTCCCGCACAGAGAAAGAACCAGCCTAAATCAATCTGTAAAATTTATTTCTCTCACTGTTATCTGCTTGTCTGACTTCCCAGTTATGACAGCTGTCTTCTCTGCTTTGCTTTTGAATATTCCTCTGCCTGCCCCGACCATACAATGACCCCCAGTTTTGTTCTACCACAGCAACAGAGAGGCTCCATCCTTCCAGCTCTGTCAGACCTGCCTAACTCATCCCCCAAAGCCAGGTGAGAAGTAATAACTGCTGGGCAGTGTAACATTTTGTGCCAAGACCCAGTCCTGCCAGGAAATGCACACATCTTTCTGAGATGCTTGGGTCTTCAAAGCCTCAACCTGATTCATTCCCACTGCCTCGTGACATTCTATCCCACAAAACACCATACACTGTATTGCCTACCAAGGCCATTCTTTTTTTCACCAGATGCACATTATTCTATAATTATTTTAAGGGGAAAATAAGTCCCTGCGCCAAGAACTGTATGTAAAGAATGACCTGAAAAGGAACAAAACAAAACGAGTGTGGAATTGTGTGTTTCATGCTCTCATTAATCAGCATTCCTGAAGGAGGGGACATCCATCACAGAAAAATAGCAAAAATTGAAACTCTCTCTTGTTCTTTGTGAGTCCTCTTAGTTCCTCCTGGATGCTGTCCCAGAAATTTGTCATTCTGCGAGTTCAACTTGTTTCACTGTGAGAAAACTTCTAGTATTTATGGTATCCCCATATGGTGCTACTTGCAATATTTCTGGTAGCAAGACATTTTAGGAGGGGCATTTCATAAATAACTCCATGTTTATCACAGTTATCATGTTTCTGTTTTGCAAGCTTGTCGCTGGCACATGTTAACCACTGCATGGACAGGACGTGCAGTTCACAGCGGCTGATCATACGGCCATGCAACACAGCTGTGATGGCTACCTTTCGTGAGCCAGGGCGGAAGGAGGCGAAAGGAGAAGAGCTTCAAGTTTGTAAATGGTAACATTAAGGAAAAAAAAAAAGTGCCGTTTATTTCTGTAAGCACTTGCTAAGAACAGCACGCGCTGAGAACTGTGCTGTTGCCTGCAAGGTTTTTCCTTGCAAGATTTCCAAATCTTTGAACCATTTGACCTAAATAGTTTATTTCCGTTTATATTTATTTCTAGAACTGGCTAGAGGACTAGCTATCGTGTCCATGCAAAGGCATCAGAGGTGAGAATTTTAAGAACAATAGCAGGACTGCAGTGCTCATAGCTAGCACTATTTCTGTACATCTTAATTCCGAGACAGACAATGAAAAGTTTAACTCTCTAGGACATGAATCAAGTATTTACAGCAAACTGCCTTTATACTGTGGGCATTCACTGTATTTTGAGAAAGCCTTGTTTCCAATTATACTGTGGTAAAACCTGCTGTTCAATTGCTCTTTCCCCAGAGAAGGAAACCCCCCGAGCCTTTTACAATGAGGACTGTCATTATTTTCCCTGAGAAAAGAAAAGAAATACCAGGAAATCTCACATTGCTAATGTGCGAGTTAAAGTGAAGGCTGCATTTGGCACCAACTAAAAAAGCCCCAACACCTAACAAACCTCGGTCCTGTGGCATTGGTGACTGGCTCAAGGCAGGGTGGGAGCTGGATTCTGACTGGCTGCCAGGAGGCTGCGGTGGCATCTGACTGCCTGTAACACACAGAGAAAAAAGGGAAAACAGACTTGCTTTTAACATTGCAATGCACAAACCCAAGCCTCCTGCATTTTTCAACCACTCAACATCAAAAGAGAGTACCAGCTGTATAAGGTAAAGACAGAGCTCAACAGGTCTAGATTTTTTCTTCCCCCTACTTTTTCCCTATTTTTTTTTTCCTATAAAAAATCCCATGGAGGAAACATGCATAAACATATTTAGCAACAGGCATGGCGAAATGTTCAATTTCGTATTGAGCGAGTTCCCAACCTCACCGACATGATCCAATTTATAGCTGGAAATCTACTGACACATATTTCTGTTAGAGAGTTTAACAAAATCCAAGTCTGCTGAACAATAGGGCTCATCCTGCCGAGCTTAAACTGGCCTCCAGCCAGGCAGACATGGACTGCTGCCAACAGTATTACCAATGAAAAATTCAGTCAATACAAAAATGACTAACAACAGTTTAAAAAGTATTTCTATGAATCAGTGATTTTAATATTATTTGAATGTCCATGTGTAATATGGGAATAAAGAGTAGTAGGTAGGCACACGCCGTGAAAGTGAAGCATCTTTCAAAGAGATCAGACAGAAAGGGGGTATCTTATTATTCAAATAAAAGCAAAGGCAAGGTATTTGCTTATTAAAATACCCATCCAGAACAGAGAGATCCCTTTTTATGGCCTCTTTCAAAAGACACCCACACGGTTTATCCACTGCTGTCTACCCACCCAGAGAAGAACAGCACTCGCCCTCCCCTCTGTGAGGCTCAGGACACAAAACGTTCCCTGTCAGTATTACTGGACAGTAAAGCAGGTGCTTATTGCTCTGACGCAAGCCTCTCCTCAGGGCCGCCGTTCCACACCCTATCAAGCAGGGAGGTGCACGCTACCACCTCCCAGTGCACAACACCCCAAAGGCCTCGTGCCCAACAGCCACCCTGCCACAGCCCGAGCAGGAACGAGACTTGGACGTCCCCGGGGGCTCCTCTCTGCTGCTGGTCTGAGACACACGCCTGCCCCTGACAGGCCGAGCGGCCTGCAGACCACCTCCAGCTGGGCGGCAAAGACATGCTTAAAGCGCTCAGACGCTGTAGTGACGAGCACGCTATAAATAGCAGCAGACAGATTTATGTCCCTCATCCTCAGAAGCTGCTCAGATTGTTTTCCGTTTGAACGAAATGGAAAGAATAAAAACACAGGCGATAGATTTTGTGCCTGCTGAGACTCATTTCCTCCTGCGAAGCAGCCACCCCTTTGCTGTGAGGGAGCGAAGACTTCGGCCACCGATCTGACGGGGAAGAATGGGGGGTGGCAGGGGCTGCTCTTTCTTTAGAGCGATGAAGGGCCTTAGTTGGGCACAAAGGCAGGACAGCAAACGTGTCTGCTTGGCCCATCCACTTCCCAGCCACAAAGCAGCTGGTTCTCGGCACCGACTCCAAGAAAAGGCCAGATTGATAAAGAACAAAAAGAAACCCCACAACATGTGGAGCATAACCACTGCCTGGCTATTCTGATGAGGTGCATTTGCACTAAAAACATGACAGTCAACATTACCGGCAGCAGCTGTGACAACTGTCTCAAAGATGCAAATGCTGGACCAGAGGCAGAATTGCTCCTCCAAAAGACCAAACATGCCACTCAGCGCTGGCGGCTTTGGGATCCACGGCCCATTCACGAACTCTAAGGCATATGACAACAATATTCCCGCTGATGTTTTGATGTCACTCAAGAGCGGGCTGTGGAGACCGTAAGTGGCTGCATTATAACGAACGAATGCCTCCTGCTTGACAGAAAGGATTCAGTGGTTCCAGACTGTAAACAAACAGCAATTCCACGCTGACACGGGGCACTGACGCTTCCACTGTGCACGCCCGAGGTACCGCTATCAGAAAGACTACTTCAAGTAGATCTGAACCACCCAAGATTTTTACAAATACTTTAAAAAAAACCCAAACCTGAAGGCAGGGGTAGTCCTGACTGTACCACACAGCTCCCGATGGGATCCCCCTTAAGGTGGAGGCTTGGCGAACTCTGAGGGACCATTAATGGTGCATGGAATACCTCGGCAACATACTTTGAACACATCTACACGTAGTCTTTATTCTTTTACGTTGGTAATGACTTCAGTAATCTGGCAGGAGCCTCACCTGCACAGGCAGATAGATGGGCAAGCACCGACCGGGAAAGTCAAAGCTGAGAACAGCGCCTGTTCGACGGGTTACATGGAAATAGTGTTCATCTGCATTCTTAGGTCACACAGACTCAGCAGTTTCACAGATTCACCGAAATTATCGGCTTCTGCAAACATTAACGCTGTCTTATTGGTTCACTTTTTACAGTTTACTTCTGATTTTTCTTTTCAGTGTTAAAAGAATTTTAAAGCACAGTTTTTGTTTCACAAAGGAAACAGATTTTGGAAACAAGATCAACTCTACACATATTCTAACAAGTAACAAACCTGCAAGAGCAATGGCCATTATGCTAATTATCAGTGGGTGCTACAAATTATCTGGGTGCTGGACATAAAAGTATCACACCAAAATGTTTTCAGTCGAACTGCGGTTTTATCACCAGAAATGATCTGAAAGGTAAAAGGAGGTTAAGCACCCAAATACCTCTGAAGACTCAAACTGAACTCTTAATTTGGGTATCTAACTCCTATTGATTGGGGGCTGATGACAGGACTTTAAAAACCTTTGTAGATCCTGTCTGCCATGCTTTTTAAGTTTCTTTGTCATGACAAGAAATGACCTTAAAGCTTTTCCATTTCTTTCCTTTAAATGATATTAATCCTTCTCTCTTTCAACCAGTATTGTAGTTGGGATTCTCAGAAGACACTTTAACACATGACAGACTTCTGTATTTTTTTAGGGAAGGAAAACTTCTAGAGAAGAAAATCCACCTCTTTTCTTTTTAAACATGAATTCTACAGCTATTTGAGAAAGCCAAAAAAAAAAAACCCTAACAATTTTTTCACTGACAGACTACTTACTGCGCCTCCTTTGACCCAATGGTACACAGATGGAAGTTGGAACAGGGATGACCTTTTCCCATGTTTTATATACTGTTGTTGCCACACTGGTGAGATACTCCACCTGACAAAACTTACGCGAAGAGAATACTATGGATGTTTCACAATGTTCTGGTTATGCAAAATCACAGCGAATACAATAATTCATGTTGAAAGGATAGATGCTGCCACATTTGTTCTTTCACTGAGATTTAACCGAGGAGCAAAACGGTATTCAAATTTATATAGCTATCTTGCAAAATTACTTTAAAACTACCAAAACCAGCTGTCTACCTAATATCACGCCTGCTATTAAAAAAAAAAAAAAGTCAGTTGAAGAGGTGAGAGAATTTAAAAATGCTTAACTGCAGAGACGTAAGCTGCTTCCCTATTTTAAAAATTCTGTTAGAAATGCTTTTAAAAATTTTGCATGAGACTTTGAAAATCTATACTTGAAACAGAATCAGGAGAGACTGCACTGCATCTTTGGAAAAGACGGATTGAGAGAAGTACTAAATGGCGACTGCATTATAACTACATCCATGAAATCTGCAGTTAAAAGTGAGTTCCTTAGCCCCAACATAGCAAGAAAGAGCAGACCTCTGATAACTTGATGAGGAGGGGTCCTTCGGATGAATTACAGCCCGAATCAGTAACGTTCTGGTAACACGCTGAGGGCTCTCTGTTCCCATCACTATAATGACACCGGCGGATGCTCAGCAGTGGTACCCTGCACCAGTTGGACAATACCTCACAGAAGTGTGCCTGGACAATTGAATCAAGAAAGCACTTCAGTGATAACAGGTTCCCCCGGGGAAATTACTAGTTAAGGAGGGAAGGATGGATATCAGCACAGGAGTTTTAAGATGTGTGAGGAACTGGGAAACAGGAGGGCAGGGAACTGATCACAGCCTGTGTTAAGAGGGGAACATTAGCCTGGAGGAAAGGCAGAAGTTGAACATCTTGTGGGTTGTCCTGGGGACAATTCTCAATCTAATTTAGGAGTTAAGAGTTAGGACTGGATTAATGGCATTGGTTGACAACAGAGTAGGGAATCTTAGTCAATACCAATGATGATCAAAATACTACCTAAGAAACTGGACCACCGTTTGGGTCAGAGTAACAAAAACGCAAACATTTATACTCACAGACCAGAAATAGGCCTTTTCTAACTGAAGAGGTAGCTGTAGGGTTATCAGTCAGAAATGGGAGAAGAGAAGAAAAGAAAGGAAAATCTGACCATATTTCTTGACATACAGATGGTAATAATATACAAACGGTTATAGCTAACCATTTGATATCACCCTGAATTAAACAAATTTAACATTTGGATTCATTAGGAGAACTGTTTCCAGCAGAAACAGGAAACACAATGTTGATGTGTCACTGGTGAGCCTTCACAGAGACAAAACCAAAAAGCTTAACGCTAAGTGAAATGGGAACCAAGACCAGCTACCAGCATGATGTGACAGAAGGCTGAAAGAGACAGGATTATTTAGCACAACAAAAACTAAACCTGTAATTTTGTGACTTGTTCTAAAAAAATGTATTTGTGGCTAAATATCAGGGAAGAAAAAGAGGACAAAGATGCTTAGGATGACAATCAAACCATTACTGGAATTTGAAACAGCTTCCTTTGAGGAATAATGAGGTCCAGAAAACCTAGTGCTTAAGAGGAAATCTGATAAAATAATGGGCTTATGTCACACAGTTGATGTGACAGTACAGGCTCACAGACCGGAAGGGACATTCCGGGTTTCTGATCCCTACATCAGAAATGAAAGATCATAAATAGGCTTCTATATGGGATTGTTTTAAATGAGCTTTTCAGGAAATTGGAAGCAAGGTGCAAATGACCTCAAAGGAAATAAATTTTTCCATAGGTAGCATAAAGGGTAACTGGTCATGTGGTTTGTGTTATCTCTTTCATCTTACAAAGCTTACAACCCTTTAAGAATAAAGATTATTTTCTTCCTTAATTTATGCATTGTAGCTAAATTTCCTGTTGTTATCAACACTGTTTTTTAAATTACTTATTCACCTGAGTAAAAAGCCAGGGCTGCCTGCATATCCCCCCATGATGCGCAAACTATTAAAACCTTCCTTGTATCTGCACAGGAACCTGAGCACAGATGCTTTAAAAGGCAAGCAACTCGAGGACTCGTTCAGATTTTGAACCACTCTGGGGTCACACGCGGAGTGCAGTGCGCTCAAACCGAGCCTTCTGGCTCTGCTCAGCACCACACTGCAGCTGAGAACCCCTTGCCAGCAACCACAACGCTGGCAGTCCGCTGCCACCTGCCCACTGAGACGATTTCCACCTCTCTGACCCAGGAGCCCAGGACGAAGCCTGGAGACCCTCCCGCCTCGGGATGCTTTCAGTAGCTGGCTGTGTGGCTCGCTGAAGGCAAGATCTCAAATGGCTGATTTGCTCCGCCGCAGCAATGCAAAGCGTCTGTAAACACGAAGATTATCAACTTAAGCCAGACTTATGGATGCTCCACATTACAAAACATTATCAAGATTGTTGTTGGGCCTGGCCCTGATTTTCCATGTTACCTCTTAAAACATGCTCCAAAGACACAAGATTCCCTAACATGGATGAGTATCACTCACAATCCACATAAAATCAGTAAAAGGTAAAAAATTGCTTATCTTCTCACAGAAGTATGTAATTCTCAGACTACTAATCCTTGAAAGTTACACTCCATCTTTTTTTCCACATTTGTGTTACATTTACCATATCCCAGCCTGGGTTGTGAGCAAGTTCCAGAGACGTCAGTGTAACCAAAGTGCTAAACTGCTCCCAAACCTCCATTAAAAAATGCAACATTGAGCTAAGGCGGCCCGCAGAACCCTAGCTCTGACTTTTCCCCGCACACGTTCGATACCATAAACATCCTAATTTCATGACCAGAAGCTACTCGTTTGACATGATGTAACATTTAATTCAAAGCCAAGTTGACACTGACAGGATGAGGTGGCTATTCAGTATTTTGTTTCAACCTCATTATTCAGCATGTGGTCCCAAGGTATTACGTATGGAAGACCATCCAAATGTCACCCTCACTGCAGACTAATGCATTTTATTAGGGACTTTTTTCAAAAAAGAATTAAGTAGCTGAAACTGGGGTCTGTCAAATTAGACATCCAGGTTTTATTCCCAGGTAGTGTAACCTCTGAGTAAAGTACAGAGACTTAACAAATACTCAGGAGTATAAGGCGAAATAATTCTTAGTACTGCCTGAACAGGTAACAGGCTGAGTGGCAAGGGGCAGGAAAGCAAATATATTGCCCCCCAAGGGCAAAGCTCACTTTACTTGGGAGGAGAAGGCAGAGCAGCAGCAGCCACTGCAAGAGGGTCTGTTTCATCCATGCCCCATCCAGAAGCCACCTGCACGTTTGGCCAGAAGCAAAGCACCACAGCACTTTTCCCTGAGATTTTGGCAGCAAGCCCAAAGCAAGCTGTCAATGGCAATCTTCAAAAGGCTGCGACTCACCCGAATAATGAACGAATAGATTTCCAGTAGGCCACAGCAAGCACCTGTCTGCCTGAGGACTATTCCTTTCCAACAAATTCCAAAACCCTGCTGCAAACCAGGAAGGGAGTAGTGCTCCTCAAAGTTAAGGATGCATCGCTTACTTGTTTATATAAGCAAAGGCATAAGTC